GTAAAAATACGAAAGTCTTAAGGTCATTCTTTACACTTTAGGTAACAGTATTGGCGTTTCAGTAAGCAGATTTTTAAAATAGTAAAATAATTTTTCCAATCTGGCAAATATGTAGTTTCGAATGCCTATTCATGTCTCTACATAAGGAGTTTTTCAATAAGGACGCTACAAAAGTAAACAACGCCATAATTTTTTCCCGCTCTTTTGATATTTCTCTTCAGTATGGTTTGCCATTTCATCATGGAAAGATATACTATGGAACAAGGAGTCGAAATTATAAAAATTTACTACCAAAATTTTCAGTCAGTGGCCACAATTATGGTCTCCATAATTGTACTGCCAGATCAACAATAGAGCGCCTAGTGGAAAAATTCGAACTCACAGACACAGAACAAAATGTTCCCGAACCAGTGTGACACAGAAGTGCCCGTCATTTTGAGAGTATTGCCGTCGCCAGCGCATCAATTGAGTAAGACCCGAATCAGTCTCTCGCACGTCGTTCACAAGTGGGCATCCCTGCGACGTCGTTGTGGCGAATTTTGTGTAAAGATCTTGAACTACATCTTTACAAGAACAAATTGGTGCAAAAACTGAAGCCGCTTGTCCAASAGAACTGTCGTTTGTTCGTGAATTGGGCTGAGCAACAACTTGAAAATGATCTGGATTTTCATCAAAAGATCATCTCAGCGATGAGACTCATTATTTCTTCCGCGACGATCAAGACCSGCACATTACTGGGAGTGAGAATCGTACGGCTCAATGATAACCGAATATTTTTGGCCCGWATTGGATAATATGGACTTCGACAATATGTTCCAATAGGACGGCGCTATAAACCACACAGCRAATGTTACAAACTGATTTGTTGAAAACCAAGGTTTTTGAACGTGTTATCTCACGAWATGGTCTAGTCAAATGGCCGTCTCGGTCGTGGGATTTGACTATTTGTTGAAGGGCTACGTCAGGTCTATGGTCTACGCCAACAAGCCAGTGACGAGTGATGAACTTCTAACGAATATTGAACGTGAAATTGTAGCAGTATCGGTTGATTTATGCTTGAAAATTGTCGAAAATTGTATTCAGCGTCTGGGCTTCTGCAAGCGTGCCCGTGGTTGCCATGCARAAGAAATTGAGTTTTTTACATAAGGCCTTGAATGTACTTTTACAGGAATAAAGAACTACATTGATACCCCAAACTGTTTTTGTTTTATTTAWTAAAAYTTTAGTAGCGCTCTTATTGAAATATTATTTACTTTGGGTAACATTTTTGTCGTTTTAGTAAAACTCTTTTTCTATGTTTTACCAAGTTTAGCTAAGTCCACAAGTAAAACTGTTGTGGCGAAAGCTACATTATCCCATTGTTAAGTCTACGCTTTGAAGCTATTATTTTTTAGTCTTAAGTTCTTTATTGTATGGCTAGGTACTACTTTCTCGGGATTTTGGCTTTCCGCACTTATATTGTATGACAAAAGCCACAACTAATTCAGTCTCACCTCTAACTAAACGGGGCTACAGAATTAGCTACAAGAATATCAAACGAATACCCATGTACATTTCTGGCATTACACATTAATCCAAAGGATTTCCTCGCACCAAACTATAAACGTATATGCCACACACGCCGTAATTAATTTAATTTTCATCAATCAAGGGACAACAATCGAAATAATCCCTTCGAATTGAATGAGCCGTAAAGTCCATTGCCTCAAGAYATTTGCTTGACACAACGCATTATAAAAAGTTTTTCTTGTTATTTTTTCTGTGCACCGAAAAGTTTTGTAGCCAACGTTTCCCAGCCAACAACCGCACAGCCACTTATGCACTGCCGGTGACTTACCATTATTTGGCGAGAATATATTCAAGTAGAGGCAGTCTTCTGATTGATTTTCCAAATACGGCAGCAACCTTTTTAGATACTCTAGTCGTCCTTTGGGCATTTTCTCCAACGCCGCCGTCTCGTTTTGTATATTCGGCAAGCGTTGCGGACAAACCGGACTGTATTTGTCCGAAATGCGTATGCCGTCCCATGGTGCAGGCGCACGTGTCGGACTAAACCTGTACAACAACGAAAGAGAAAAAACGTAAAAAGCGCATTAGAATTGGAAAGCATGTTTTGAGGCTGAAAGGAAAATAGATTACGGCGATTGATCACCAGATTTGGTGTTAAGTAGCAGAACCTTTTCTTCCGGACACACGCACACAAATGCACACATGAATAGCTGCCGTACTAATCTGCCAATGATGGAGTGGAAATCAATTGAATTCATTAGCTGAGAAATGAGCCCTTCAATTTACAACACTTTATTTTACATACACCAAAGAGGGCTYCGCGTATTTTTCCTTATTTTTACTACCAGTTTTGGYTATTTTTATTTTTTATTTTTTCGCTTTAATTCTCATTTTTAATTTTTGTCACTTTTATTACTTTTATTGTTGTTTTTTACATCTGTTTGCCGAAAGTTTCGCCATCAAATTTTATTAAGCAATTTACCGCTTGATTAGCATAGTTGAACGACGAGTGGATGGCGCTTCTTTTTGCGCCTACATAATTATTTCTTATTACAGTTGTATTTCACTGCACATTATTCAATAACATTGAAAAGTTTTCCATTACTCCGAAGACATTAAGCATAAAGGCATTTCTCGCATTCTTGCCACACCTAATTAGGGTGGAGTTGATTCGGAACAATGCGAATTTAAAGATCATTTTATTTCAGTCCCAAAATATGTTAAGCTCTGTAGGTCTTCCTAGTAGAAGTTACCACAATGAGAGGAGTTAGAACCGTTTAAATATTAACTGCAGCAGATCAGAAAGTATGTAGACCTTGTCTAGTACTTACTCTTGTCGATGACTGAATAACTTACTTTTTTTCGTATTCGAGAAGCCATCAATTCCAAAATACTTCTTCACGAATTGAAGTCGTTAAGTTCAAAGACGGGTGAAGAGTTCTTCCCGGCTAATTCTCTCTCAATCTCATTTTTATTTATAGAATTAATGGCAGCTGATGGCTGACTCTACAGCTTAAGATTATAATATATAAATAATAAACGTTCCAAGCCAATATCAAAACCTAACCTATCCTAAAACTAATCAAGCCAAGATCAGCATGAGGAGACGAGTTGAATCCCGAGTTGTCGTCTGTCTGTCAGTTAGTCCTTTCGTGAAAGTTTAACTTAGATAAAAATTGAGATATCTTGATGAATTATCTTAGTACGTGTGTTTCTAGGCATCCGAAGGGGTTGGCGTGGCAGATGGGCGAAATCGAACCATTGCCACGGACACAAAATTCAATTAATCGTAATTATCATAACATACAAGACTCATATTGGTACATGTAAGCGCTTTAGAAAGGTACAGCTGCGGTTTTAATAGTTTGAAAAAGTGGGCGTAGTCCATTTGCTAATAAGTCTAATGTACATATCTTCCGAACCACTTAAACCAAATATACCAAATTTTCTCAGCAATCGCTACCTCATCTTCAATTTCAAAGGTGCTTTTGAAAGCATGAAAAGGAGCTGCCTTTAGGTCGCTATGTCTAAATTTGGTATCCCAGCAAAACTAATACGACTGCTTAAACTGACATTGAGTGGTAAGAAAAGCATCGTAAGGATCGGGAATTACCTCTCCGAGCCGTTTGTTACGAAACGAGGTTTAAGAGAAGGCGACTTCATATCAACCGATTTCAGCAGTCTACTTTTGGAGTAAATTATGCGAGCTAGAGAAATAAACAGAAATCCTCGAAATCTAACTCAGAATAATTCTTGCTATGAGGTAGTGTCACCCGGATAGATGAAAACACTCCAGCTCTGAAAGTATTCGACGCAGCACTTGTCGGGGGAAGCAGAGGAAGAGGAAGACCTGCACAACGTTGGAAAGACGTGGCAGAGAAGACTTGGCCATACGTGGTATCTGATACTGTTATTTTCTTGCTTGAGTTCGAAGTTGGTCTTTCATRTATATTTTATAACAATATGTGCTTAAGAATTCATTTGTATAAGTTAAAGACTTTCAGTTTTGATGTTCGCTTGAAAAGTTGAATAAATTCTTTTATTTACACAACTTTTGTGTTAGTTTGCAAACTTTGTCGTCCATACCGAAAATATTTCTTTTCAATTATTAAGCATATTATTAACAACTTTCAGGGTTTTTAATCGCCTTAGGGTCAAATGGGAGCGAACCGGCTGAATTATCGGTGCCCTCAAGTAATTTCAGTTGAGAGTTTTAAGTAATGCGAGACCATATACACATGCATACATTTTAACAACAAATCAGCTGGTAATTTCACTCAAATTTTGCGGAGCGCACACCGCACTAGTGCTTTTGTCTCCACCAGCTCTGCTTTATTAAATTGACAGCTGCGGTAGCAAAGGGGCTACTTGAGCCTTGAGCCCAATGGTGCGGTGCGTTGATCAGATGAAGTAGAAAACAGTCTTTTATTATTCAGGCAAGCCACTCAGCCGCCAATACACATTTGATATTCTGACGTAATGCCATCATCATCATCCACTTTGTGCAGTATGTGTCGGGGTGTTTGCCGGAGGCCTGCCACGCGGTGACCATGACAACCACTGGCCGTTGATCTGCTTACAACATGAAAAATGAGAAAAAGTTTCAGCGCAATTGCTTGTGATGATGTTACAGCAGCTTCTTAAATTTTTTATTGCTTCTCATGCGCTCTCGCTCTCACACCACCCAGTTGCTTGGTGTGCTTGTGCGCCTTATTGTATGCTTTGGATTATAACTCAACTCGTATTACTTCTGCTGTTGCAATCACATTTGCTTACCATGGGCTAAGCTTCGAGATTACATATATACATAGCACGTTGTCACTATGCTGTTTGTCCTTCGCGCTAGGTGCTTCTTCAATTTGCGCTCCGCACTGTTTTTTTTTTATTGTCTTCCCTTGTGTGTCTATATTTGTTTATGGCGAACGCTTGGCGCGTTTTCTCACTGTTCACTGTGTTCATAATTTAATAGCACAGCAGATAACGGTATAACAACAGCTGTTTCTGTTTCACAACTACAATAAAAGTGCGGAGCGGCGAGAGCTGAAATGAAGCGAAAACATTGCTAAGCTAGCAGTAAGTGGCTAACAAGGCGCTGTGTGAGCTGGAAGTTAATTGTGCTTGCTTATTGACATAGAAGTCGGTCCTTGCATGAAAAAGGGAGTAAAAATTGTGGCAAACTTTTAGGCAAACAAGCTGTCAAAGCGCTTCAATTAATTTAATTTGTTTTGATTGCGGCAGCAGGCGGTTGGAAGGCCAACTCGCCGTTATTTTTATTACCTGCGCGAAATATAAAAAGGAAGAGAGACGATGCAGTGGGTGCACGTATAAATGGCGGCGTGTTGGTCGTCTGCTTGTGAGTTGGTGTGGCACAGTGACCTGCCAGTCCACTAACGATTGTTTTCGTATAAAATTCGCTGCGAATTTGGTTGTTTGCAAAACTTTTGTCATTTCCACAAATTGCAATGTCATTTGGTARTATTTTGTTCTATTCTTGTTGAACTGCGGAGTCTTCTTTTTCAATCCGCCTCTGTATTAGTCTGTGGCAAGTGAGCGAATAATAAAAATACACAYATATAAATATGTATTTTTATACCCTGAATAGAGTATACATATATTTATGCATGTAACTGATAAGCGTGCCGAGCTGAGTCGAATTAGAAATGTCTGTTCGTTCGTTTGTATATTGTATGCACGTGCCTGTAATGCTTAGTTTTTGAGATATATATCTGAAATCTTCGACACCTACTTTGTTCCCTAAGAGACAGCTCGTTTGTCGAAATCACCAATAGCGGACTACTATAGCATATGGCTGCCATACAAACTGCGTCAATAAAGTCGAGTTCTTGTATGGATAAATCTTTCATTTGACAAGATGTCTTAACGAAATTTGGCTTGGATTATTTTCTCAGACACCGCTACAATATCTGAAAAAACCATTAAGATCGGACCACTAACGCGTGTGGCTGCCATACAAACTGATCGATTAAAATCAAGATAAAGTACATTTGCACCCTTTTATGCCATGAAAAGTTCAGGTGTGCAGGGTATTAATAACGTTTCTCCCTCTTTTCTAGTAACTTAAACAATCCTATAAGCGACATTTCGCAATAACACTCACCTCTTTGTTTCTTCTGTACGTCTATCAGATGCGCCAATTTCTAGTGAATTCGCACTTACCATAGATTCACAAACCAACTCCATAGATTCACAAACCAACTCCATAGATTCACAAACCAACTCTTCGCGCTTTGGGTGTGGCCACAGTTTACTTTAATGCCTTTCATTATGAAATTATCACTAAAATGTTATTGCACAATTGTAGCAAATACAAAGCAACAATGACAGCAAGCGTGACTTATATTGTGCATTAAAACACGCTTCACGCCACTCAGCTGTCGCATTTAACCAAACCCCAACGCCTCACCCCCTAATCTCGCTCGCGCACGTCTGCATGCAACATTTTGCTGTTATTGTTGTCATTATGCTTGCGTTATCCGTATAAAGCAAATTAAATGCGTTCGTCGCAACCATTCGTAGGTCTACGCAGACCTAGCGCAATGCTCTTAAAGCTATTCCGTGGCAACATAAAAACTGCAACAACAATTACAACAGCAATGCGCGTCATTAATTTCGCAAAGGATTTCTTTGTCTTCCCTGTGGCTTGTGGCTGCGGACGCGCTGACTATGTGGCAAAATTTCGCCAGTGATCAAATGGCAGTGCGCTCATTAAACTGTGGCTTTGGCGTAATGAAGATTTCGCGAAAGTGCTCAAAGTGGTAAAGTCATACTAATTCAATGAATGTGTATGAAATTTTCTTATGYGCCTTCAACATGCAAATGAGCTGCCATAAAATCGGTTAATATGGACTCGAAAAGCGGGCTTTGGCGTGCTATTTTACGCATGACACACGGGAAGCCCACTGAGTTGACGCTTCCTGTTTGCGAGAGTGCACTGGCGGTCTGAGAGAATGTTGTTTTCATAAAGTTATATTAAATTCCATTGCGCCGTAGGTGATAAATGCAGGCGATAAATATTAAGTAAAGAAAAAACAAAGAGCTCGTAAAATTTGATGGATTGTTGACTGGCTCACGCTCACACATACTCCGGTTGAGGCTGACAATGCGGAAAAATATGTTTGAAAACATTTCTGATCTGATAAAATTGGTGTTGAGTTGCATCAACAATGGCAACGTTGACTTCAAAATGTTTTTATGTTGAAAGTAAAATTTCACAAATTTTTATTGTAATCGGCATATTAATGTGGTTACCAAATGGGAAATGAATTAGYCATAAATTCAAAATAAAAATGAGCTAGTTTTATTTATTAGAAGACATAAAATCTTTGAGGTAACTCTCGCTACGTTGGTAGGATAGTTTTCTCAACCGGTAAACCGGGTGAAAAGTTGGGGTGTATCATTGTTACGAAGCTCTCATGGAAGCTAAAAAAAGCGGAGAGAGTGAGGTAGGCATCAGTCGCTTTATGTTATTGTGGAAGAACCATTGGGAATAAGTGGAGCACTTCACCAAAAGTGATGTTTTGGCTTTATGAAACAGTGGTTAAGCCTATAATGTTTTGTGGGGTTATTATCTGTTAGAAGGCGCTCGAAAAAACTGCGCTAGCTAACCAGCTGGAGCGCGTTCAAAGAACGATCTTCATCGGCTTCTGTGGTGTAGTTAAGACAACCCCAAAAGTGACACTCATTGCCATTCTACACTTTGTTCTTGTAGGTAAAGCTGGTAGGTGTTGGGCGGCGAAAGCTGCTATTAGCCTTAGAAGAGCCTTAGAAGAGCTGCGTCTCGGCCAGGAACACTCTGAAACTCTCTACTACTTCGATTTTATGGATGAATCACAATTAAGAGGGAGAGTAGGTGGTGAAATCTTCTGTAGGGAGTTTTCCATTAACTCTGCTTTCAGACTGTAAGGCTAATTTGGCGTTTTTCGAGCGGAGTTGGCTGCTATTAAGGTGTGCACTCGCTGATTGTGAGCTCATAACTAATCAATGATTGCACCACCACGTTAGCAACAGATTTAAGCTTCTTTCACCTTAGTATTTTAAGGGTGTTCGGTCACAGCGGAATTGTYGAAAACTGCAAAGTCCATGAGTCCGCAGTGAGCGCAGCCCCAATCTCATCGAAATGGAAGCGAGTCTTCTTGCTCAAGAAGAGCTGATAAACAACGCAACTTGTGTGACACGCGGTGCGACTGAATGTTCTGTTGGACGCTCTTTGATAAAGCTGTACGGAAGAAGGCGAGGTTGTATCATCTTTTCACTTCCTGCTCTAAAGTTTTGCCTGACTGAGGATTGAAATTCATTTGAAGAACCTAACCAAGTGGTAAGTTTAAAATGCTTCTTCGATTTATAATGATCTGTGGATCCACTTTTCGCATTTTTTGGGTTACACTAATAGGTTAGCAAAGTTATTCGCTAAAGAGAGTGCCTGCACCCTTGATGTCAGGTACAAATTATGAGGTGCAAGCAAAATGTTATTCCAACTAAGCTTCGGAACTTTCTGGCAAGTTACTGCCGATTTGTGTCATTATCCTGTTCGAACGCAATTCCTCTCAAACCGGACAAAGCTGACCACCTTTGGGCKACTGCTTACTTCAGCTAGATCCAATTGTAGACAGTATAGATCCGAATTAAGAGTTCGAAAATATGAAATGAGGTCATGGTAGATGATTCCTTGCTAATCCTATMAAAAACTTAGCAAACCCTTCCTGAACTTCAAACTTGGTTTTGACACCGTTTGTGCCGGCGCACCGCAGTTCAATCGCATCCATTTTGGCTTGACTTTGTCATAAGTAACCTACTTCTAGTCATCAGTAACCATCCACTTCTGAAATTTATCAATTTTTTGCGATTTAGCAGCAATTCGCCGATGGTATCTCAGTCCATGCGGCATTTTTTTCCATTCACTCCAGCTTATTTTTATGTCTAGCTTTACTTAAGTGGTAGCAAATCGGTTTTTGTGCAAAGTTCACCTCCTGGGCAGTTGAAACATGGTCTTCGACGATACCCATTATTTCATTGATATTCGTTGAATGATCTRACGGAGCGTGTTAATCCTTGACATCAAAATTAMCGGAACGGTAAACGAGTACACCTAACCTAACTTTAGTTTTCAGTAGTGCGTTATTACTAAAGGAATGGGTACTTTCAGTCTGCAACCTCGAAATAGAAGTTATGCAAACTACTAACAACGAGCTAAAGGGCGAACTATGTGATCCTCAACGCTTCGCAAAAACATTAAAACTTTATGCTAGAAAATACGAGTACACATATGAAGAATTTGACTTACTAAAGCTTATCAATTGCAAATATTCGAAAATATTATTTACTTGTGGTCAACTTACCGGTTTTGTTTGGTCGGTGGCGTCGCATATGGCACGCCGAGAAACACCTCCACCGAGCGCAGAAAGCGAAAATTGTCCAACGGCAAAATCAGACCATGTAGACGCCCATAACGGGTCTGTACAATGCGATGGCCGAGTCGCGCATTCTTGTAGATCTCCAGTGTGGAAGCCTCGCTCAAGTGCGGCATCAACACGCTCGCCACCAACACACTCATGACTATTGACAGCATCCAATGTGGCAAACGCTGGCTAAAGCTCGTTAAATGACAAGTAGCTTTAACGGCTTTGCTGAACGGCCATTTCGGTAGTCTATTTACAGTGTTGTGCATCGCTCGGCACTTGGCCATATTTTCGTTAACCCGTGCGTGTGTTGTTGTAGTATTTTTGCGTTTCATCTCAAACAAGCGCGCTTCAATTGCGAGTTGCGCACACTTGTCTTGTCGCATCGTGAGAGTTTTTCTGCTTTTGTTCGCTATTCTTGGCTTTGCTAACGTTGCTGTGGCGTTGCAGCTTTTTCTATCTATGCGGTGTGTTGAATTTTAGTCTAACGCTAAGTTGCATTTTTGTGTAGTTGTTAAGTCTGTCGATTGATTGAAAGTCTGATTTGGACAGCAAATATTTTGTGGTATCTTCAAATGCATTGATGTAGCCTTTGGTTGATTGTGGTTTGGCAAAATTGGCAGTTTTGTTGTTGTAGTTGTTGTTGTCTGGCTCAGTTGGTGCCAGTGAGTGTCCTAAAAATGGAAAGTGAAATATACATATATCCTTCAATTTTATAGTCTAAGCTTGTAAATATACAAATACTATTGAAGTTCTAGGCAAAGCGCATAATGAATGACTGTGATTTTAACTAAGTAAAAACCACTTAAAAATGTATGTCACTTTCTAAAAGCGAAGCGTTCTTTGCATTATCGTCGCCTTAAGCACYCTTTTTTGACGTAAAAATGTGTGAATATTCTGTGATTCATTAATTCATTCCGAAGTGTTCATACTTTTTGTTTTGACCGTGTGATGTCCTAAAGGACGTCTAACTTTTGCTATAAAATATGTGAAAGCGTGGTAATGACCTGCAGATAAKTAGATAAATCCGGATATGCGGAGTTTGCAGCATTCAGCAAGGCAGCACTTTACGCTCTACGCTCCTAAAGATATACTACTAATGCTGCTAACCGCTGTTTACAGCGCTCATTTATTGGTAATAATGTGCTTCCACTATTTCGATGAAACTAAACATGAAATACAAAGTTGTAATTACTAACGATAATTATAATTGTAATTAGTTTTCGCTGTTGTTGTTTGTAGTTAAAAATGGTTAAAAATGTAGCAACACACGGCTGTATACGGTCTGGGAGTAAAATATACCCWTACATTTTCTTGTTTACTAAGGTGGTTAGTGTAGCGACGTTTGTCGCATTGGAAGGGTTGCTAAGTTGAGAAGAGAAATTCAAAATGATTGATGATTATTTGCTATAAATAAAACTAAGGAAACGAAGGAAAACTAAGGTTCATCACCAACGGCTTCTATTGCAGTGGCTTCCTCTTTTCTTTTCTGAGGCCATTAGTCTACTGAGTTGGAATGTGATTGTGAGGTTAGTTTGAGGCCCAGTCTAACGTCTAAGCCACCTAAGCGTACTTGTTTTGCGCCTTAAGACTATCCGTAGTCGTTTGCATATTTATTTCGAGAGGTATGCGCTTATATTATTATATTGTATTAGCAGTAGTAGCTCTGTTTTTTCTGTAGCGAATTTGAGGTTGTGTGAATCGAGCCATGCTTGCGACCTTATTAAGCTTTCTTCGCGCTTCTTATGTGGCTCTTGGTGTAAAGTCGTTCGCGTAGTCAATTAAGTACGATTCCTCTAGCATTCTAGAGTTTTAGTATAGCGTCGTAGTTGATGCTCCACTGGGCCTAGAATGGATGCTTTTGGTACTCTAGACGTGGCGGTTACTTTCGTGATCCTTCTTTTGAATGGTACAGCAGTTTTCTGTTACTGAGATAGCTCCGCGGCACAGCTCTATAATGGTCGGGGAGTTTACAGCTTATTTCGGAAGCRTCGAACCTATCCTTCCAGCTAGCGCGTTTCGGACATTTAAAGCCGTTAGCAACACTATTCATTTGTATTTATGCCAACTACGCTGTGTAACTTCTATACTTACAATGATCCAAAGCCATGTTGTTTCGGGGAGAAACCTCCCGCTTCGTTGATAGTCGCTTCGATTCTAGCTTTAAGTAGCCTTTCATAGAGCTTTCCCGCTGTATYATGCAGGCATAGTGAATGGTATGCTTATGGCAACTTGGGATCTAGTTTTCTCTTACTGCTTGGTACTATTCGTTGCTTTATCCTGGGTTTTCAGAATATGCCAGCTTCTCTTCAGGCGTTGTACATATTCAATAGTAATGCCGGTCGTTTTGCAGTGATTTTTTTTTTCAGGATTTCTGCTGGCATGTGTCGAGTAATTTCTTGGCCTCAAACTTGCCAGTTGCTAGTTGTAGCTGTTCGAGAGTAAGCGGGGGGATTTAYGGAAATCTGAGAGTATGTTCTGATTCATTAGCCCTTTTTTGCCTGTAAGAAAGAGTGTGTTTACGAACTGATTCCATTTGGAAGCARTTAAGTCAGATGGCTCTGCTCAAGCGTCGAGACTTTTCATTACTATTTTATACATATGTATTTCTTTTTAGTCCCCGGGGTTCCACCACTATGACATATGGCAAACACATAAATTGATTAAAATAAAATTTTCGAATGGAAAGATATGTTCACGAATTTTGGCACGTATTATAAGACAAAGCCACGTTACAATCTCCGAAGAAATTTTTCTCATCGGACTACCATAGCATATACGAACTGAACTATCAAAAGCAAGGAATTCTCATCTGAAGAGATATCTTAACGAAATTCGGCGTAGAGTATTGCTCTAGGCTACACTATTATACCCGTAGCTATTGTTGAAATCGGACTACTATTGAATACTATATAGCTGCCATACAAAGATACACATTTTTTCTTGTTTTGTTTTATTTTAATCATCTGCGTGCAATGACCCGAACCAAATGTATAAAAATCGCAATGAAATGCATAAAAAGTTTCGGTTACTTGCCGAGTGAAAGCAGTATCTAACGGTAATTAATTCATTTGCATCCRAAAGCATTTTTACACTTACACACCCTTAACATACCGAACAGCCAAGGACTCGTGCGCCAGCACCCATGTCTGCTGGCAAACCATGAGCTATGAATATGCTAAATAGAAAATTAAAAATATTACACTTGAGCCCCCAAGGGATGTGCACATATTAGTTAACTTTTCGTAAAAATATAAATGATTACCATACAGCCCAGAAGGAGCTGAGTCCAGGCAGAGCCAAAAGCGGGAACAGCAGGCTGGCACAGCGGAAGTGTGTGAATAAACAAAATGGAGACAAACGCCAGCACAGCTACAATGCGGAGCGGCCATACAAAGGAATTTGAGCACATACGGCATGCGGCAGATGGCATGTGGCATGCGGCTATGCGGTGGCTTGGTAATGGCGAAAAATTTAAATTAGGCAGGAAAAGCTGGCGAAACACAAAGGTAGGCGGCAAACCGTAAAAATGGCTGACACACGAAAAGCGACAAAAGCCGTACACACATGCGCATGTGTGGCTGTCGGCGTCGAATGGGCAACGAACGAAGCGGGCACGGCAAGTGCAAAAAGTTGAAATAATAGCAAAGCGTACGCGTTACGGGCATGTTTTGTGGCATACTTTTAGGCGGCAAAAAACTATTCACATTAATGCGGAAGCGACGGCCTGCATGCAGGAGCATCCGCACATGCACACACACACACAGACTTACATATGTGCGCATATTTGACTAATGATGAATAACACCTGCAGCTTTGTGGCACGTGGTGTGTGGCATGCAGCGTGTGAGGTGTGATATAATCGCATGCTTTTACGCCTAAAAGTGTGCATTAAAATAAATGCAAAATACTTTTCAGCTTGGCCAATGACGCCTTCATTGTGGCAGCTTCATGCAACTCTTCATTTTGCTTTTAACGCGAGCGAATTTTTGGAATTTCTCACGCTTTCAAATTAGCAGTATTTAACATATTTTTCTGATTAAAGGAGAGCGTTAAAACACTACTAAAATTTAGATTGGATAGTTTGAGGAAATGAGGAAACTTTGATGAAATAAAAAAAAAAAACTTTTTGTTGAATGAGGAACAGGTGAAAATGTTCAGACCGATATCTAAAAAACTGAGATAATACTTCCTATATATATACAGACGGGTGGACTACGTCCGGTGTGTTTAACGTGGGCACCTGCTGAGGACAGTTTTATACCACAGCACCAATTTGTGTTATAGGGTTTTCACCCGGCTGCAATGCAACTACATAATCCACGATCAAAGCGTCTGTTTTTCCCGCATTCGGGTTTTAACTACAACCACCACGATACTTCTSGWGKGGTTAATCTGCATGAGCAGGATGGTGTGAACTCCAAGAACTCCTGCTCCCCATMGTACCAGTGTTAMGTCTCYGGTGAGACCTCGTAGYCGAAACTACTACTAGTTGAGCTTCAATACAGCTCCGGACTGGTGGCCCGATGTTGGACAACACACCATTCACAAATGAAGCTGACGTTAATTATCAGTTAAACGCCTTCACTCGCAAACGATCCTAACTGTTTGGCATTCCGATTAGTGGAGATCACACCGCTTACATTTAAACGTCCAACAGTCCAGCTAATCCCCATACCACCCAGATCCCCTAAGTGCATCCTAGGCAATCTGCAATTACATGCACCTAGTTCGGCCGCTCCACAAAAACAATCCGAGCTATCAGTTAGGTGCCTCTGATGAAAAAATGCATTCAGAGGCTCATGGCCCACCAGCAGAACACCCAGACTCAGATAAAGTCTGAAGTCTCAATCAAAACCTTAAGTCTGGGTTACCTTCAACAAACCCAACGTTCCTAGTGTACACATGAGTCTAAGTCATAAGCCTTGTCACCTATGATCATCCCTTGATCATTTTAAACACGCAGTCATTCTGCAGCAACAATACAACGATACACTTAAGCCCTATCTTAACCTGAATGCAAATGCGCGCTGCATGTCAATCAGGTCAAGAGACGGTGCACCTAGCAGAACTTGCATAGCATCTGTTGAGGCGGTGCGTCATACATCATACAACGCTGAAGTGAGAGGAGTTTAAGAGACCCCAAGATTGTCGTGGCTTCTTCCCACAGACCACAAACAAACCACGATATATGTATAYTTGGCTTGCGTCACATTCTTGAAGCTGACCCCGTTCACC